TAGGTAGGTAGGTAGGTAGGTAGGTAGGTAGGTAGGTAGGTAGGTAGGTAGGTAGGTAGGTAGATAGATAAACAAAGATAGCTTTAATTCTTGTGGCAATAGGGAAAGAGAAGTTGGCCTGGAAGGTACTATAAGGGATCTTCTGTCGATCTTCAGCTTACCCCTTCGTAAGGAACGTCCCCCGGGCATCCACCAGGAGGAAAAGCTCATTCTGCGTCTTCTGGCTATTTCCCGTGTACAGATAATGCTCCAGTGGAACAGGGCGCTTCAGTGTGCTGATCACATAAATCTTCTTCCGCTTGATTCGCCTGTCAAAAGCAGGAATTCCACAAACAGTGTTATATTGGTGAGCTCTTCCCTCCCCTCTCCAAAACTGTGCTGTTCAGAGAACAAATAACGAGACAGAACATATAATGAGGATTTTATCAATCCTGAAGCGAACCTGGCTGAGGCCATCTTAGAGGCTTTCAGGTTGCCACAAGGAAGAAAAGAAGGGACAGGAAGGGGGAAAATAGATAGCCGGGGCTTTGTATTCAAAACAAAAAGTTTTTCCTGTGGGAACCAAGGACATTCCAACAGGTGGCTGGGGAGAGGAAGAATGGAGTAACCAAGTAACCAGCCAGCACCTCTATTGGATATTATGACCAATGAACTGGGGGAAGGGAAAACTTTCACTTTTTAATTAAGTGAAAACCGCAGGAACTTTCAGAGTTGGTTTTCACCAGTTGTGCCAATATGATATATCCAATAAATTGTTCTTTGAGGAATCTACCTGCCTCGGAGTTTTGCTTTCTATGGGTGCATTACTTGGAATGCTGACAGCAATAGCAATACCACTTAAGACTTATATACTGCTTCATAGGGTTTTACAGCCCTCTCTAACCGGTTTACAGAGTCAGCCTATTGCCCCCCAACTATCTGGGCCCTCCTTTTACCCACTTCGGAAGGATGGAAGGCTGATTCAACCTTGAGCCCAGTGAGAATCGAACTGCCGAACTGCTGGCAGCCAGTAGTCAACAGAAGTTGCCTGCAGTACTGCATTCTAACCACTGCACCACCATGGCTCGTATGACCACAACTGAGCCCAAAATTTCTGTTGCTAAGCGAGACATTGGTTCAGCGGATTTTAGCCCCATTTTACGACCTTCCTTGCCTCACTTCTTACGTGAATCACTGCAATCATTGTTAGTAACTTGGCTGTTAAGTGAATCTGGCTTCTCCTTTGATTTTGCTTGTCAGGTCGTAAAAGGGGATCACATGAGCAATGGTCATAAATATTAACCCAGTTGCCAAGCATTGGAATTTTGATCACACGGTCGTAGGGATGCCGCAAACGTCGTGACTATGAAAAACGGCCACAAGTCTCACTTTTCGGTGCTGTTGTAACTTTGATCGGTCACTAAATCGAACTGTTGTTAAATTAAGGACTACCTCTATACTGCCAACATCTGGCACAGCTGCCTTCTAATGTGGACTAGACAAATTGAGAGAGCAAAGGCCACTGGGAGCTGTATTATGGTTTCTAGAAGTTCTCATTCCATAATCAACCATAATCAACATCTTCATCAATGACTTGGACGAGGGGATAGATGGGGAACTCATCAAATTTGCAGATGACACCAAGCTGGCAGGAATAGCTGACACTCCAGAAGACAGGCTAAAGATACAGAAGGATCTTGACAAACTTGAACATTAGGCACTATCTAACAAAATGAAAAGGGTGAAAAAGACAGGTTCTACATTTAGGCAAGAAAAAACAAAATGCAGGTACAGAATAGGTGGTATCTCACTCGATAGAGAGAGATGTTGGAGCCCTAGTGGACAACCATTTAAAGTGCAGAGAAGAGCAACAAAGATGATTAGGGGACTGGAGACTAAAACATATGAAGAAAGGTTGCAAGAACTGGGTATGTCTACTT